AGTATTGAAGATGATCCTAAGAATTATCAAGAGGCCATGGAATCTCGTGATAGTGCCTTTTGGAAGGAAGCAATTGATGATGAAATGTCATCAATTCTGGAGAACAACACATGGGTGTTGTCTGATTTGCCTCCAGGTTCTAAACCACTTGGTTGCAAATGGATTTTCAAAAAGAAAATGAATGTTAATGGGACTATTGACAAGTTCAAAGTCCGGTTAGTTATTCAAGGTTTTAGACAAAAACCCTGGATTGACTATTTTGATACGTATGCTCCAGTGGCATGTATTTCTACTATTAGATTATTGATTGCCTTGGCAAGTATCCACAATCTGGTTATTCATAAAACGGATGTGAAAACAGCATTTTTAAATGGTGATCTTCACGAGGAAGTTTACATGAAACAACCAAAAGGTTTCATTATGCCCGGTAAAGAGCATATGGTTTGTAAACTAGTCAAATCTTTATATGGACTGAAACAAGCGCCTAAACAATGGCATCAAAAATTTGATGAAGTTATTTTGTCTTCTGGTTTCAAGACAAACCAATGTGTCAATTGTGTTTATAGTTGATTTGATGATGCTACTAGAGCTGGAGTGATCATTTGCTTATACGTAGATGACATGTTGATTTTTGGTACTGACCAAAATCAAGTAGATGAAACAAAGAAATTGGTATCATCTAAGTTCTCCATGAAATATTTAGGGGAGGCTGATGTAATTCTTGGAATAATAATTAAAAGGATGAACAAAGGTTTGGTAATGACTCAAAGTCATTATATTAAGAAAATACTCAAGCGGTTTAATTTTACCGATTGTTCTCCTGTGAGTACTCCTATGGATCCAAGTGTGAAACTAATGCCAAATAATGGTGTTCCCATTCACAGTTGGAATACTCTAAAGCTATTGGTAGCTTGATGTATGCCATGACAAGTACCAGACCTGATATTGCTTTTATTGTGGGTAAGTTGAGCAGGTATACTAGTAATCCTAGTGCTCAACATTGGCAAGCAGTGAATAGAGTGTTCAAGTATCTCAAGGGAACCATGGATTATGGCTTGAGTTATTTGGGAAGTCCTTCGGTTTTAGAAGGTCATTCGGATGCAAGTTGGATAACCAACATGGAGGACCATTCCTCAACTCCTGGTTGGGTATTCTTGCTTGGGGGAGGTGTCATTTCTTGGGCTTCCAAGAAGCAATCTTGCATTACAAACTCGACAATGGAATCTGAGTTTGCTGCGTTAGCAACTGCTGGTAAAGAAGCAGATTGGCTAAGGAATTTAGTCTATGAGATTCCTCATTTATCCGGATTACCCTGACTTGCTTCAAAATCAACTAATGACGGCCCAACCCTAATGAAACCCTATTTTCGTTTATTATATAAACGACTCTTCCTGTTGTGAAGTGATATCCGAAAATTGACTCTCGTTTTCTTCAAACTCTCACAAAATTTTTCTAGCAAATTGGCTTACGATTTCTATGCCTAGAATCTTAAGTGTCCACTTGGATTATCCTAGGCTGAATTTCTTTCAACTCATGCATAGGGTAGAAATATTAGTTCGGAAAGTGTTCTCACGATCCAAGTTGGTATCCAGATCTCCACCACAAACCCCAAAAGTGTTCCTACATAGGATGTACACTAATGTGTGTGTATTAGGGGTGTGTTCGGTTCTGGAACCAGACTGAAATGGAATAACCGAGAACCGAAAATGAAGATCTGCTAGAACTAAAGACATGTACATGACCAGTATAGTATAAGGGAACACGTTTTTTTTTTGAACAGCAGCAAAATTTCAATAAAAAAAGCTAGCTAGGAGCTAGCAAAAACATACAAAAACAAGTTAAGGCATTAGAGGATTGCGAATCCAATCAATCCAACTAACACGAGCCTTAGCGTTCCTATGCGAAAACCACCGAAAAGAGAAATCAACAATAGTATCATAC